CACTCCATGTGTGAAGTCTCCATATTTATACCACCGATACCGAAAACCCTACTTTTGAAATGGTTAAGTTTTAAGCCGGAAGCAAGTGGAAACTGGAAAGCGCATAGTATTTTTTTTTTAATAAAAAAATGCTCAAACACCATTGAACCATAAAAATAAACTGCCACGTACATCAAATGAGAAAAGAATATGACGAGATAATGTAATACCGTGAAAATGTTCATCTTTCTAGCTTGTACCTTGTCTCAACCCCATTTAATAGGAAATTCGAGAGTAGGAGATAAAACTAAAGAATGTCACTGAAAGATAATATCGTATTCACCCTCACCATTTGGAACCGGGTCCCATGTGCTCCATATTCAAATCAAGAAAACCAAATTTGTCGATTCAAAATATTTCTCAAAATCCGTTTTAAAAACACGATTTTTTTTTTCCTTAGAGGATTTAGCCAATCATAAGAGGGTCATCTATAATGCTTATCCCTTTAATATTATAAGTTGATGGCTCAACAATTAATTTACTAGAACCACAAATAGTACCAAGAAAAGTAATACAATGTGCAGTTTTCTAATCCATTCTACCAATGGAATTCCATAATTCTTTGTAACACTTCTTGACTAACAAAATTATAATTTCCAGAATCATCACCAACATTTCCAGAATTAATATTTTCCTTCCTCCAATTTATTTCTTATGTGACTGGGTTTCCTCATATTACATTTATAGACGTATTCTCTGTCCCTACTTTTTCCGATTATTTATGAACATGCATAATGCTTTAGAGGATCTAGGGGGCATGGACCCCGCTTGGATGTGGATCCCACTCAGACAAAAAATAATAATAATTAAATAGAACATCCACCCCCACTTAAGTAATTTTGGCACCATCTTTCAAAATTTCATATTTTTGTCTGCATACATTGGAATTCCTTTTTAATGAAAATGAAAAATCATTAGATATTGCATTATCAAAATAAAAGTGTAATTATAATACGTACAATGAATTCTTACATCAGTCAAATCTAGTCTTATATATACATACATATATGAGGAGAAGATAAAACGTATTGTGGTAACTAAATTTATGTAACAAAAACAGATATAAAAGTATAACAATATTTCACACTTTCCAGTCGTAGCGTAGAAATTATACAAAATATATATTTTGCTATATATGATAAAAGACGGTGTTAATATATATATATATATATATATATATAT